CCCCTCCCCTTCCTGCCAGCCTCAATGAGGTGCAAGCGGGGAGTCCATGGGGTTGTGGGGGTGGGTTGGTTTCCCCCCATCTTTTCTGATGTGGCCAAGCAAGGCTGTGAGGACACGGGCGTCTGCCTTTCCCTGCTAGTGTCAGGCTGGCGAATTCTTGCCACATATAGTCCCTTTCTCACGTGTGCCTGTACCTCTGGCTTGGGCTCCTGTCTGTATTTCCCTTTCTGTGGTTTGTTTGGATCTGGGCAGTCAGAGGAATTTAAAAAAAAAAAGCATCAGGTGGACAAAAGCCTCAGGAAGGGGTGTGCTTCAAATCCAAGCCCACATCCATGAATCACGTCATATCGAGCACCAAATTTGCTTGACAGCTCAGGTTAATTTGGGCTGCTGCATGGAAGTCTCCGCTTATGTGAGTAATCCTGAAGCAGTTGAGCAGTTGCCCCCCCATCCCAACGCATGCATCCATGTGGGATGCGTGTAAGGAGCAGCAGGCAGGAGGGGTTTGTTCTTTCACAGTCTCTGCCTTTTCCCTCTTGCCTGAGCTGTGAGCGTGAATATGCTTCCAAAAGGAGAAGAGAGAGATCCCAGAATAAGATTTAGACACAGTGACAAGCTTCTGTCACTTTACCAACAGCAATCTGCACAAGATCTTGTGTATTTAATCATTCAGGGGAAAAAAGCAGTCCCTGGAGACCTCTGGTGCAGCTGTACATGTTGTTGGTGGGCTCAGCAGTAGGCAAGGCAGGGCTAGCACCGATTCAGACGTGGGCCTTCTAGCAGGCAGCTACACAGGTCTTGGTTGAGCTAGCTCTCCCGCTGCAAGCCGATATGCCTGGGGAGAGACCGTGGGTTTTCCTTTGTGCAAGTGCTAGATAGTTCGTTAGATGAAAAGGCAAATAACTGAACGGCAAGTGAAGTGGGAGGCGAAGACGCTGCCTACAGCCTCAGCCTGGCCAAGCAGCGCTGACGCTGGTGGGGTTCCCCGATGCCGAGGCTGCTGAGCAAGGAGTGGCAGGTGGCGAGCTCTCCCCGTGCGCTGGCTGCCATCCCGATTGGGCACTGCTCTCTTTGGGTTGCCTTGCCCGTTTCCCCAGGGATGAGGGGATGCTTGTGTTGAAGGACCCACCAGAACAAGCTGGAGACAGAGGTGCAGAGAGAGCTGGGGCTGAGCCTGACACATGTCACGCTCTTTCAGGTCACATCCTTGGTGAGATCTTTAAGGGCTCATTTAGCTGCCTGTGTGTTTTGCTACCCTAACTTTGGAGTGGTAGGAAAGCCCCTGTTTAGGACTGCAGTGGATCAGGCTTACTTAAGCTCCGCAATAGCTCCTTTCTCTGTGCTATCAGAAATGTAACAGACTTCCATTTTATTTCTCAAGAGTGTGCTGCTAGTAGGATTTGTTCATTTAATTGGCATCTCCAGCAATATTACAGAGTGCCTGAACCCTACTAATTACAGCCACAACACGGCCATCGGTTTGTGAGTTTTGAGCCCATTCCACTGCAAGGACACAGACCAGAGCCTTTCTGCTGCTGGGAGAGAGAAGATGCCCATTCGGCAGGCTTGGGAGTTTAAACACCCCAGAGAGAAGGAAAGGTTTGGCACTGGGGTTTTGATGCTCTGCTCGGACAGCCGTGCGCCTCCTGGTCCGGGGCCGCGAGAGGAGGGACAGCACGTGATGCAGCAGCCCCACAGGCTCAGAGCCGGCCAGCTGGGCCCCTGCCTTCGCCTTGCAGACAGCTGACCCCGCGGTGATGCGGCGATCGCCGCTGCATCCAACGGACACTCACTGGAATAATAATTTTTTTTAATTCCAACCCTCTCCCATGACTATGGCCAGGAAATGAAGAATGGTTTCTTAGCAGGACTCCAGTGGATATCTCCTCTGCTGGATAAAAGCCACTGCTTATATTTTCCTCCCAAAGGATCGTATTTTCCAGTCCCACCTTTTACAGTCTTTGTTCCGCTGAAGTGTGCGTCACTCTTTTCCAGCTGCCTGGGATACTGCTGAAAAGAGGTTCATTACCTCCCACTGCTGTGAAAATTGGGGTGACCCCTTTTTTGGCATGTATTTGGATGAGTTGCTTTGGGAAGCAGAATCACGCAGGCAGAGTTGTTTAAGAAGTGAAGACTAGAACAGAGCTGGTTTTTTTCTTTTAATGAAGAGGAACAATTTCCCACTCTGTTTATTCTTCCTACTCTCAGCAAAATGTCAGGAATGCTTAAGATTGATGACAACCCATGTGAAAGAGAAACAGATACCAAGGAACATTAGTTCTGTCACACTCAGTTCAACTTTCCTCCTTTTTCCATAGCAGACTCTGTCTTATGCTTTGGCAACCTACTGCCAGAATTTTTCTTGCCCTTTTCCAGCCCCACCAGCCCCGTTCACTGGTCTTTCTCCATCTTGGGGCAAATGGTTCTTGGTTACCCACGCCATCTGGTACACAGAGACACATGCTCCAGTTAAGACCTCACCTTTTCTGATCTGATAATGCAAATAGTGTACTCCTGGACCAGAAGAGTGATGCTGTTCCAGCAGAGTTTGTTACAGTAAGGAGACAGCTTCTTTTCCCTTAGCAGTCACGTGCATCCCTCGGCTTTGACTACCTCCTTCTGTCAACAGTGGCAATCACTGACGTGGGACCTGTTTATGGCTTGTAACAAACCTTACTGTGATAAAGTTCTTCCCTGTTTCCTAGATTCTTTTTGCTCTCTGTTCGTCTTTGCTCTCTGCATCCACGAGCTCCCTGCTGTTGCCTCTCTGTCCCCCCTGCACATCCTCCTGCGCTGCCTTGCTGTGTCCTTTTCCTACAGATGTTTCTGCCTCGGTGGACGTGGGTACCTCAGAGAGCAGCTTTGGTTCCCTCTGCCTCCCCATCTAAAAAAAGGCAGTGCTGTGAAACACTATGTTTTCTTGTGTAACACAGGAGCTTCAGCAAGAAGAAGAGCAATTAGCATTAGCAAGAAGAAGAGGTGGGACCAGCAAAACTGCCTTGCCCCTAATCCAAGAGCCTCGCCCATTCCTGCACACTACTTTTTCCAGCCCCAGACTTCCTGGCTCCCTCCTGTTCTTTCTGTGCAGCCTACGTTTCCAAGATAATCTTAACCTCTTGCCTCTTGTCTCTCCTGTCTTCTCATTTTACTGCTCCAAACTGTGTCCCCAGGTGATGTCTCCTACCCTCCTGCAGCCCCTGCCCCAGCAACCAGCTTCTCCCTATAGCTCCACAGCGTACAGGTTAGGGCTCTTGCTCAGGCTGCCTCGGAGCGAGTGACAGGAGATACTGCAGTTGCATGGATGAGAGAGATCGTGAGCCAGATGTTCTACAGGAATTGACCCAAGCAAATGCTCTGCCCCAGTGCCTGAGAGCTACTGGCCTGAGCATGACACTGGCAGGCAAAGAGAAATGGTAGAAGTGCCGCTTCAGTCCTGCCTGTGGAGTACAACAGCGCTGTGCGCTGGGGAATGTGTTCCAGATGTGTTCTTTCATCCAGGCCTGCTTTAGTCTTGTCAGGTGTATTTAAACATTTATTACACTTTGAGCTACCATGCCCACAACAGAAATTATGCTCTCTCCTCAGCCATTTGGAAATAACATGGGGTTCAAATGTTGTGCTCAGCTTTCCAGAAGAGCTTTGCTGAGAGATGAACAAGTTTAACAAAACACTGCTGGACAGGCTTTCAAACAGTGTCTGTGTTGCCTGAAAGAAAACACTGCTCCATGCGAGACTTTCCCCAGGACACCAGTGGTGCTGAGTCAGACCAGAGCTAAGCATTGTGAAAGTCCCCTGGACCCCAGCCATTCCACCTCACCCTCAAATACTTTGAAATCTGGGGATTTTTTTTTTTTAGCTTTCCTCCGGAACACTGTGATCAAACACTTCTTATTCCACCGTAGCTACAACCATGACACCATCATCTTTCTTTCTTGCATCATAGCCACATAATTTCCATGTGCAAATGTTTGCAAATTCAGCTTTAGTAAATTCAGTTCAAAAGGGTCATTTTACCTGAGAGCTGCCCAGTGGCAACAGGTATCACTTTGTATGGAGACCTGGAAGGGTCAGAGAGGATTGATGTTAGCAACACTCAGAAAGCGGTTTGTATTTCACATTTGACAGCAAACAGGGCGGGATGGGAACAGATGTTCTACATTAAACACTTAAAAGCAGTATTTTTTCTTCAGATGATTACTCCTACTTTAATAACAAGCAAAAATCTTCAAAACCAGCAGGCTTTAGTGTTCTAAGCCAGCATGCAATTCTTGCTGTCATCTCCCTCCTTCCAGGGAGTTGCTCACCTCCCACTGCACACAAAAGGCATCTGCAGGCAACCACCATCCCTTCCCTTGGGCTTGACCCCATTTTTGAAGAGCAGGTTGCAGCAAGGCTTACCTCTCTGAGTTTGCAGGCATTGTCGGATCAATGGATACCATACAATTGTCTGCTGTGAAAAGGGAGATTGTTGTGTTCCTGAAAAACATGTGCCAAAGAGGTTTATTTGACCTAGAAATACTGGCTGAAACTCTGTGCTGCTGCATGTGGTGCATAGCCACCTTCTCTCCTGCAGCACTCCTGGCCTGGCCTGGCACTGTCTTGGACCCATTTTACTTTGGTGCAGAAAGGGTCAAAGCTCAGGACAGGGTAGGCTTGATGCTTCACCCATTTCAATTACCAGAGATGTTTCTGGTAAAATGTTAAGTGTGATCATTTTTGACCTCGGAGCAGACTTTGTTCCCTGCTAACTCATGTATTCTGTTGAGTCACCAACTAATAATTTCTATTAAAAAGATATGTTTTGTGATACATTGACTCTGCAGCTATGTATTGACTCACACTATACAAATGACTACCAGTGCTATGAATGTCTTGAAGTTGTCTAGTTATTCCTTTACCAAAACAAGCAAAACAAATGTCTTTCTGAATATGGGGCCTTTTTTTTTTTTTTTTATACTGTGCTAGGTGTGATCTTATAGGCTCAGATGTAAACCTTGGAGGTTTACTCTGGCTCCAGGAGACTGGTTGAAATGAACAATTCTTTGGAAGTCTTCTGATGAAAATAAAATGACAAATATGCAGTGAACACCCTGTTAATGAATGAATGACTAGAACTGCTAAACAAAGTTTCCTGGGTGATGGAGTGGAAGTATTTGACATCATAGGCAGATGAGAGACACTAACCTCTCTACTGTCAAATCGGAGGAGATAACCCAGGATAAACAGCAAAGGGCATTAATTCTGTCCAGCAGTTTATGCAAATTATGAGTCAATATAGACAATTTTATCTTTCAATCCCCAGAGCTGGAGTCATGCAATAAACCCAGGATAAAAGGATTGGCTTATTTTTTCCTGTACTTTTTCTGTATTATAAACCTGTATGTACAAAGGTAAAGACTACGGCTTATTGCATGCTGCTGTGCATCTGGCCTGGGCAGCTTAAGGCCCGTATGCAGACAGCAGATGCCCCCTTCTAGATGTGACTAAGGGGCTTCCCTCCCCCTGCACCACCGCACCGGACAGGCGCTGGAGAAGTGGCTGGGTGCTACACCTTGCCACCCTCCACCACGCACCGGCATTTCCCACCCTGACACACACCTACACCTGGTCCTGGGTCCCTTTCAACACAGAGATTTAAGTTGGATGCTGCTCTCTAGGTTGAGGGTAAGAGAAACAAACCCTCCAGGAAATTACAGCAGGAGAGATGCATGGACTTTGCAGGACAACATAAATTAGGAAATACTTGGCCGGGGCAATGGATTTGGGGATATTTATGTTCTATAAAATGGTTCTGCTGGGGTACTTTGTGTTTGACTACCCCATACCTGGGATGAGATTGTACTGTACCTAAATAGAAAGCTTATCCCCTAGTGGCAACGCTTCTCATTGGCCCCAATTTTTTCCCTAAAAACCAGGTTCTAAACATATGGCTGCGTTTCACTTGATATGGGCAAAAATGCAGTGCTGAGGGATAACTAGTAGGCGCACACAACCCATGTGCACTCAGGGCTGGGCTTCTGCACGTGCTTTTATTTTTTTAGACTTTATCTCTTCTGTTCTACTCTATTCCACTCTGTTCCTCAGGCACAGCCAGCACTGAGGTGGCTCAACGCCTGCCAGAGCTTCGTGTACTTTTCCAGCTGGTGATCTCTGGGTTGCCTCAATTTCTTCTGCCAGTAGACTGGAAGGAGAGAGAAGCCTGAATACCAGGTAAATGCATAATTTGGGGCCTGTCTTTAAATCGTCCCCAGAATTAAAGGAACAAAAGTGAAATGAATGTCACAAATGAAAAGAGAGACCTACCTTGGCAACCCAGTTGCAATGCAGAAGAGGTCCATGATATCTTTGGAGTTGCAATATTTACTAAAGATCACCTTCCAAACCGAACAGCAGCAGGGGAAAAAAAAATGGAAGACAAAGAAGAGAAAGGACGGTTAGTTCCCAGTGAGATACGAACTCTATTTAGGCGTGAACTGGGCTAATTTTAAGGCTCATCACTTCAATTATCTGATTTGACTTGTGAGCTGGGATATTTCTCTACTCCTGTTTAATACCTGTGCTTTTTTTGATAAAGCAAGCAAGCTGTGGAGACCTAATTGTGCTGTTCAGAAGTAGAGCAATAACGTATGTGAACTAAGAGCAAAAGGTATCTCATAATGCAGTATTGCTGCAGGGTGATAGCAACTGCAAATTTAAGGATGTAAGAGCCCAGATTTAGGAAGAAAACAGCCCAGATGTGGGGAGATCCTTGCATGGTATAAAAGGGCACTGCTTTTTGGACTATAGCAGCTTAAGCTAGCTTTAAACAGAACCGAGGGTTTTGTCACCCCAGGTTGTGCCAAATTTCCTGCCAACTGTCAGGCTGTATTGTTCCTGCTGCTAGGTCAGAGCTCAGACCTTGAATTACAAAATTTGCCACTGTTACCTTCTCACCCACCCAAGCACCTCTTCACCCCCCTGCCCTGCCACACATGCCAGGCAGGCCCTATGCAGAGAAGACTGTTTGAGCAGTGGGTCTGGGAGTGCAACATCCCCTTGACCCCTGTTGCGATGAGGCCTTCAATGACACAATCCCATGTCATGATTTTCCCCAAGACTCCCATGTCCATCAGGGCACGTGGGCAATGGTGATCCCCAGCTGAGAAGCTCTTCTGCAGATGGGGTGGGGGGCAGAAAGCCTCTCTGTGTGCCTTTGATTTTCTGTGGTGGAGACTTTAAAGCCACCATGGAGATAAGGCTCTACAGAGGGATCTGGACAGGCTGGATCGATGGGCTGAGGCCAACTGTATGGGGTTCAACAAGGCCAAGTGCCGGGTCCTGCACTTGGGTCACAACACCCCCATGCAACGCTACAGGCTTGGGGAGGAGTGGCTGGAGAGCTGTCTGGCAGAAAAGAACCTGGGGGTGTTGGTTGACAGCCGCCTGAACATGAGCCAGCAGTGTGCCCAGGTGGCCAAGAGGGCCAATGGCATCCTGGCTTGTATCAATAGTGTGACCAGCAGGACCAGGGAGGTGATAGTGCCCCTGTACTCGGCATTGGTGAGGCCGGAAGGCTGGGGGGGGAGGGGCTGGAGAGCTGTCTGGCAGAAAAGAACCTGGGGGTGTCGGTCGACAGCCGGCTGAAGATGAGCCAGCAGTGTGCTCAGGTGGCCAAGAAGGCCAATGGTTTGTATCAGGAATAGTGTGGCCAGCAGGACTAGGGAAGAGATCGTCCCCCTGCACTCAGGACTGGTGAGGCCGCATCTCGAGTACTGTGTCCAGTTTTGGGCCCCTCACTACAAGAAGGACATTGAGGTGCTGGAGCGTGTCCAGAGGAGGGCAACGAAGTTGGTGAAGGGTCTGGAGCACAAGTCTCATGAGGAGCGGCTGAGGGAGCTGGGGTTGTTTAGTCTGGAGAAAAGGAGGCTGAGGGGAGACCTTATCGCTGTCTACAACTACCTGAAAGGAGGCTGTAGTGAGGTGGGGTCAGTCTCTTCTCCCAAGCAACAAGTGATAGGACAAGAGGAAACAGCCTCAAGTTGCACCAGGGGAGGTTTAGATTGGATATTAGGAAAAATTGCTTTACCGAAAGCGCAGTCAGGCACTGGAACAGGCTGCCCAGGGAAGTGGTTGAGTCCCCAGGCCTGGAGGTATTTAAAAGATGGGTAGATGTCGTGCTTAGGGACATGGTTTAGTGGTGGAATTGGCAGTGCTAGGTTAACGGTTGGACTTGATGATCTTAAGGGTCTTTTCCAACCTAAACAATTCTATGATCCTATAAAATGCCTCATTGCAGTCGGGCCTGGCTCATCTTCTCAAAGCCAGGAACAACAGCGAGCGGTGGGGCTGATTTGTCTGGGGGCTGCTGGCGTCACTGGGGCGGCCACAGGCTGCGATGGCCAGCTTGCTGTGGGGAGCGGGGGGAGGCGGTGGTGTGGAGCAGGGCAGCTTCCCTGGCCAGCACTGGAGCTCAGCTCCCTCACGCCCCCAAAGAATAAATAGCCACAGAGACTCTGGGTTCAGGATGCAGCAGCTCAAAGGGACTTGTGGAGACCTAACAGCAAAACTCAGGAGGAGCAAGAAAGTGATATTTCACAGATGAGGTCTGAAGCACAGGGAGATCAAGGTCACAAGTCTCCCTGTGCAGGTGCCTTGCTGGAAACACTGTTTTCCACCCCTCACGACCACCCGTAGTGTGCCATATTCTCAGGCACAGTTTCCATTGCCGTCCATTGCAGGCACAGGGGATGTGCATGCCCACAGATTAGCCTCGAGGCTGGTGACTCAGAAAGTGAGGAACATGTCACCCAGGATGGCCTTCCAGTGGTTTGTTTTCTCTGCCCTGCCTCATGCCTCGTGGAAGAGCCCACGGGACACTCTGCCCTTGAGGAGCTGCTAAAGCCTGCTCACAGCTCGGGACATTGCAAGCCTGAAGTATGGGGAGAGTCAGGACAAGATGGCAAGATCTGGCCAGCCTGGCTGAGTCCTGCTGTGCCTGTGATGCACCGACACTGGCGCTGATGCTGAAGCAAGGCTTCAGACCTCAGTTTTCACTGGTGGTGAGGAGCCCTCGTACTCTTGGGGGAAGCTTCAGCGGTTTTGTGGTAGAGACGATAGCGACATTGGTCACCTCAAGAGGTGGCTGTGACCAACACGTGCATGCACACCCACCTTCTCTATTTTCTGAGCCGGATGAGATTACACCAGGCAATATCTTTACTTTATAAAACATCAAGGCATGTGACTGCTGAGATAGTTAGTAACTGCTACCAGGGAAATGGGTGGGATTAATACCTTTTAAAAGCCTGCTTTGCTCAGTGATTGCCTCTTGGTTATTAAAATACAGCAGCGGTCAAAGCAATAAAACATAGCCAATCGAGTTCAGATAGGGCTGCAACCCCTCTCCTAGCAGAACACAGCATCCTACTGGAGTGATAGCTGCTAAAATCAGCCGATAGTATTGGAGGGTACAACAACTGGTACATGCAGTAACCGAGGAGATGATGTTAATTGCAGCTGAACAGAGGGTAAAGGCTTATGATGTGCCAGGAGTGCTATTTCAGGTATTGAGGTTTCTTATTCTGGAAATCAATTATTATCGACCAGCACACATAAGAGAGGAAAAGATTAAAAAAAAAATCAAAAAACATTAAAGGTAAGAAAGCTGGCCTGACTCATAGAAAGCAGCAGGAACTTTCAATGCATTGAGGATGAATTTTAATGCTTCCTTTACTCCATGTAATAGTGAAAGAGTGGGAAGCAAAACAAAGACTGTAGATAATATTTTCTAGATTATGAGCTATCTCCATACATGCTTTTTAGCTTTCCATACTTGGCATTTTTACTTATGTTTGCTAAAAGTGGATTTGTGAATCACCCACCACATTTTGATACTCATCTCAGGCTGGTTGTCCTCAGCTGGCTGTTTTTTTTTAATCAAAGAGTATATGCTACTGAAGTTTTCTCCTGTTGCAACCTGCTGAGCTTTTCTGACCAACTTCCTTCTGCTCTAAAACAAAGCAGCCAGCCTCAGACGTTTCCCAGCAATATGCAATTGTTCCTGTTAGTGCCTGCAGGTTTATGTTCCCAATAAAGTCAATGTTAGTTGTGCTGATGGAATACAATTGTAATGTATTTTAGAGAGACAGGAGGACAGTACTGCATACAATTGATGGCTCCAGCACAGTATAGGAATCCTATTTGGCTAAAGTCCATTATCATTGCGGGGACATTAGGAACATGAAGGCAATACAGTGACATTTGGCTTGCAGCCATACTTCAGCCAGACGGGACACATGGTTTCTCCCATGGCCAGGGAAGATTGTTGACCTGAAGCTTTCAGGATAGGCAGCCCTGTTGGCACTGGGTGGAGAAGTGAGCATCTTACCCAGTCCTGTGAAGATGTCCTTACTTGGGCAGATGTCCTGAAGCCATTGCTCTTCAGCCCAGGTCTCCATGATGGTACTTTTCTGGCACTGTTTGTGGGTCTGATCCAGATCCACAGTCAGCAGTGAGTGACTTCATCTCCCTTCAAACCTGTCTCAGCTGTCTCTGACCCACAGTTGTCACCTTGTTTAGGTCCTTGTTCCTGTCCCTGGGTGGTGAGCCACTGCTGAGATGTGTCTCGCAGCACCTCGCTCTCTGCATTAATGCCCAGCAATGGAAGAAATCACTGGTTAGGACAGGACTGAGACCTTGCTATGGAGCATAACAGAGGCCAAAGGCAGGAGACCACAGCAGTTTCTACAGTTGTGGTAGTGGGCTAAGATCATGCACGTATAGGGCACAGACAGGTTTCCCCATAATACGTGTCAAAACAGTGTATAGTCATGCAGGTCAGCACCACCCAACAAAGCCAGGGATGCAGATCCTGACACACCTCCTACAAGAAGGAGTGGACACAGGGACTCCAATATTGCCTGGTGGCATGATAGTCTCTGCAAGACTGAACAACACAAGACACTCATTTGCCAGTGTAATTTCTGAAAGCAAAGGCAGAGCCAAAACCATGTCACAGAGGCGATACACTGCATGGGAAAGGGAAACAATCTGCTTCAGCCTGCGGATTGATGACTAAATGCCACAAAGAAAATCAGCCACATATAAACCCTGTTAATTGCATCTCCCTTGGATTTGTGCCAGCAGGATAAAGAATGTATTCCTCAAAAATTATGCAGCATCTGCAAACAATTCATTTCCCCCGTTTGAGAGTTAACATTATTTCATATTTCTGTCTTTGTTACTGTTAGCAAAACTTCTACTATGTGTAGAAAAAAAAAGACAAGAAAACTAGTCTTTTCTGAATTCTCAGCTTGATCATTTCAACAATTCTCCATCAAGACCAAGAAGTAGTCATTTGATTTAAGTGGGGAACGCTGTCTGCCTGCCTTGGAAA